CTCCAGCAACCCTCAGTTTGTTTTCTGTATTTAAGAGTCTCTTATGGTTTGTCTCCCTCTCTGTTTTTAATCTTATTTTTGCTTCCTTTCCCCTTTGTTCATCTGTTGTGTTTCTTAAATTCCACATAGGACTGAAATCATATGATACCTGTCTTTCTCTGACTTATTTTGCTTAGCATAATACCCTCTAGTTCCATCCATGTTGTTACGAATGGCAAGATTTCATTCTTTTTGATCACCAAGTAATATTCCATTGTGTATATGTGTGTGTGTATGTGTGTGTGTATATATATATATATATATATATATATACACCACAGCTTCTTTATCCATTCATCAACCAATGGACATTTGGGCTCTTTCCATACTTAGGCTATTGTCAATAGTGCTGCTATAAACACTGGGGTGCATGTGCCCCTTTGAATCAGCATTTTTGTATCCTTTAGATAAATACCTAGTAGTGCAATTGCTGGGTCATAGGGTAGTTCTGTTTTTAATTTTTTGAGGAAACTCCATACTGTTTTCCAGAGTGGCCGCACCAGTTTGCATTCTCATCAACAGTGCAAAAGTGTTCCCCTTTCTCCACATGCTCGCCAACATCTGTTGTTTCCTGAGTCATTAATTTTAGCCATTCTGACAGGTGTGAGGTGGTATCTCATTGTGGCTTTGATTTGTATTTCCCTGACCAGTGCTGTCTCCTAGGTCCCTTAGCCTAAAGCACAGGCTACCCCTTCTCTAAGCCCTATAATACTTCTTAGAATAGGTATGCATATAATGGAAGGAACATACAGTGTATAGTTTAAAACTACTGCAAGTTCAACTCAAGTTCACTTAAAGAGTCTTCTCTCTGTCTCATTCCCAGCCTCCATCACATCACCTAATAAAGTCTATATCACTCCATGTCTTAGAGCCTGCCCCAAACTAACACCAGCCGCAGAGAGGGAGATGGTTTATTCAGTGCTAAACCAAGGCCCACCTCTTGGGGCTCCGTTTCCCATTTCATGGTTAATCACTTCTCAAGGCAATTGACAGTTGGAATTTCCAATCCCTTCCACAGAGGTATGGTCTGCTTCTATGGTCCATACAAGATAATCTCACAGCAGTCCTCTATCTGTTGATATCATAAATGATGCATCGATCAGTCTTAGTACTAATGAGTGGAGATGCCAACAGCAGCTCATATCAATTGCAGCTGTGCCAAGATCAGCCCAATTTCTTTTCGATCTTGCCTCATCAAGATTCAAAATTTTGGAATCAACTCTTACCCACTGTTACGTAGCACCCAGTAATCAAAATGATGACCACTGATTACTCAATGACCAAACTGATCCATGTACATGAACTTTCACTTAACTATTCACTATTTCCTACTTTTATTTATTTTTTGTTTTTTTATTTTTTTTAATGTTTTATTTATTTTTGAGACAGAGAGAGACAGAGCATGAGCAGGGGAGGGGCAGAGAGAGAAGGAGACACAGAATCCAAAGTAGGCTCCAGGCTCTGAGCCGTCAGCACAGAGCCCGATGCGGGGCTGGAACTCACGAACCGTGAGATCGTGACCTGAGCCGAAGTCAGACGCTTAACCGACTGAGCCACCCAAGCACCCCTATTTCCTACTTTTATGAAAGGGTTAAGCTAAATAGTTGAGAAGGAAGCTCCGGGCACCTATCCCTTTCTGTCCTTGACACTCACAATCTTGCCACCACTATATGCCCCAAAGCCAGCAGAACTGATCTCATTATACCCATTATGTTTGTTTATGTCAGTGATCATAAGAAGTCCAAGACTCAGAACACATCCTTATGTACATTCTCTTTTATGACCTCCTATCCTACCCCTACTCACTGGGTCTTCTGAAATTCACAGTCCAGAACTAACTAAATCCATTACACCTCAACTTCCTCATACTGAAAACATAAACTGATTCTCTCCTAAGGGCACGCCTTCACCTTTGTCCCCTTCAAATGGTGGCTGGTTTTCTCTCATCTTTTGGGCCTGGAGGTGGGGCAGATATCCTTTCTTCTATTTCTTCACCCTCCTTCACCTTGGATATATTCCTTCCCATCTTTAATCAGCTCAGAGTTTATTGCCAATTTATCCCCATAACCTCCTTGTCTTGTCTTCCTCTGTCCTACTTCCTTGGCCAAATTAAAGTCTGCTAAATGTAACTCTCTGACTACTCTGTATCTTCACCAACAACTCTATATAGATGGAGAAAACCACTCAGTTACACTAACTGGTGTCCTTTAACTTCATGATTGTGGACCTCAAGTGAGCCCTTAAAGCTGCCTGGCAATCCACATTGCACTCCCGTGATCTTTTCATTCTTCTGTTCCTCCCAAGCCTCCAACACTTCCTCTGTGAACTTTGGTCTCCTATTTCACTGAAAAAACTTTAAACAAATAGTTAAAACTTCTCCAACTTCTCACCATCACATTTAACCACTTGCTAACATTAGCAACCACATAATCTACCTTCTAACCTATTAATAATGATAAACTTTCTATGCACCTGCTTAAAGCCAATTCCTCCTGTGTCCGCAGTTGACCTCTCTTATATACTCATGAAGCCACTCTGCCATTCTCCCCATCTCTCCTACATCATCTATTATTTTTTCCATAGTTAGATTATTTCCATTAATACATAAACATGCTGTTTCTTCTCCCATCAAAAGCAACAACCAAAAAATGTACAACTTCTTTTCATCTCCCATATCTTGACAACTACCTTTTTCTTTGCTCTTCTTCCAGCAAAACTTCTAAGAAGATTTATCCATATTTGTTGTCTCTAGTGTCTCTCTTAATCCTATTGCAATCAGGCTTTCAATCTTACCCTACATCAGAATTGCTCTTGTCCAATATCTCCGTGTTGCTAAATCCAGGGGTCACTTCTCAGCTTCATCTAAATAGACCTATCTACACTTGACACAGTTTATTCCTGAAACCCTTTCTTCACTTGGCTTTCAGCGTGTCTCTCTCACTTTTTAGGTTGTCCTCTTACTTCACTGGCCATTTCTTTTCAGTCTCCCTTGCTGAGCTCTCCTTAGTCTCTCTCTCTCTCTCTCTCTCTCTCTCTCTTTTTCTAATGTTTATTTATTTTTGAGAGAGAGAGACGGGGCATGAGCAGGGGAGGGGCAGAGAGAGACACACACACACAATCCGAAGCAGACTCCAGGCTCTGAGCTGTCAGCACAGAGCTGATGCAGGGCTCAAACTCATGAACCGCTAGATCATGACCTGAGCTGAAATCGGACACTTAACAAACTGAGCCACCAGGCACCCCTCTCCTTAGCCTCTTAATGATGGCATGCCTGGAGACTCAATCCTTGAGCTCCTTCTCTTCACTCTGTAAACTCATGAACTTCACAAGTTCACCTGGTATTAGGTCTTTAAATACCTTCTATATGCCTCAGCTCCCAAATGTATATCAACTGTCCAGACTTCTCTCTCAACTCCAGGCAGATCTAGCCTTTTCTCTTATCATGCAAGACAAATCTCCATGTTAGAGCCTTTGTAAGGATATTCCCCTTGCCTGGAATCTGAATGGCTACCTCCCTTGCCTCTTACAAGTGCTTCCTCAAAGTCATCTCTTCAATGAAGCCAACTCTAACCACTCCATTTAACCCGTTAGCCCACCCACTCAGCTGTAATTAAAGTTTTCCCACTTCCCCCATCCTGCCGTACCCTTTTTGCACAGCACCTAACACCTTCTAATATAGTATGCAATTTACTAACATATTATGTATTTGGTTTATGATCTGTCTCCGCCTTGCTAAATTTGAAATTCTTCAAGGGCAGGAATTTTTGTCTGTTTTGTTCATGATGGTAACTTAAGTCTCTAGAACATCACCAGACCCATAGTAGTTGCTCCAATAAATATTTCTTGAGTGAAAGAATGAACTTTCACCACAGGATTATGAGAAAGGCCCAATTATTCTTCTTTCCCACATAAGGAAACTGGTGCTTAGAATTCATTAAAAGTCACACGACTTGTAATGGCAGAACCAAGATTCCAATCCAGACCCCTCGCCTTAGAGCTCACACTCACTATTCCATAGCCGGTGGTGTTTGCCCAAGGTGGACAGCGGAGATGGGGGAGACCTAGATAAAGGATGCCGTCGGGAGTTGACGAAGGTGTAGAAATAAATCTTTGTGTGCCAAGCTAAACAATTTGGACTACTTTCCATGGCAGAAGCTCCAAAGTAAATGGTAATGTAATTAAATTCTATTTTGGAAAGATAACTCAAATAGCTGCCACATGGAACAGTGGAAACCAACAAATTGCCAGTGGAGAGAAACACCACATTTGGGGCTAAACTCAACTCTAAGGTTTCCACAGCTAAAAAATGACTTTCTTCCTACTAACTCCTTAGAGTATAGCTCATTTACCCCAGTCCTCACTTAGACAAAGTCTGACACAGCATGAAGAGTTATGAAATTATACTTTATTCATATATATTAAATATTCATAAACTAAACAAATTAATTACTTTCCATTTGGGTACAGTCATAGTTGTCAGTGATATTCTGAAACACCAGGCATGAAAAGAAATGCTATTTTCTTAATCAGGAGACAAGTCATATCGCCTGACACATTCAAGTGCTGTCTGACATGCCGTTAGAGCAGTGGCTCATAACACAGACATGTTCCCAAATAGGCAGCGACTGGATGGCATCATTTCATTCATAAGTGTTCATTGTATCATCAGGTGAAATAAATGCACAACCCACAGAGTCTTATTTAAATTGGCTGCCTAGTTGGTCCCTGAGATTTAGCCTTGAAATCACATAATCTTGCCTAGTTAGTCAGGAAGAAGGGGAGAGGGCTGAGTGAAATAGTCACAAGATACAGGAATTATAAATAATATATATATTAATAGTCACTTTAATTACATAAAAGTTGCTATTATAAATACTTTGATTGATGAGTCTAAAAATATATTCTTCATATAAATAATGTAAAATATTAAATATTAATAAATAGATTTAGATTTAAAAATTCAAATATTGTAGGCAGGATGACCATTATTTCGATGCTCTACGGCCTCGAAACAGATTCTGACTCCTTTTCCGCTTCCTCAGGTTAGATCTTGGTGAGAGATCATTCATCACTTTGAAGAGTTCATTTATTGCTTTGCGCTGGACCTGCAGATCATTCACCTGTTGGAAAAGAAAGCAGCAAAATTAATATCAGGCATACAAGCCATCAGGATATTCTGCTATTACTATCAGGAAAATGGAATTACTCCTTCAAAAAAAATGATTTTCATTGTCAATTTATTACCTTAATATACAATGATGGTTTCTTCACTTAAGACTAAAACTGTAATTAAATTGCCAGTTGTGCTGTAATATGATGGGGTACATGACACATCCTTAAATTTACTGCTAGAGAATTCCCGAAATTATATAGCGAAAAGAGCCTTGAGGTGGAGTGATAAGAAATGTGGGTTTGGATCCTGTGTGTGCAATAACTGTGACTTTGAACCAGTCACTTAACCTCTCTGAACCTCTGTTTTCTCAACGAAACAATGAGGAGATTATTTCAATCACCTCTAGGCTCTCTACCGATTCTACCCACCTTGGACTTTAATTAGTCTTTGATTAATCAAATAAGTTACTATAGGTCAATGGTCCTCACCTTTGGCATGTAGTAGAACAACCTGGAGACCTAATGAAGAACTCAGAGACCCAGATACATGAAGTCAGAGAAGACCCAGGAAGTTGTGTGGTCCCTCTGTTACTCACCAAAGTTTGAGAACCATGAATACAGGTTCAGTACTTTGCAAACACCAAGTCTAGGACAGATGAATACTGTAATGTTTCATCTCCCCCAAATTAGCTCAGTCTCATCACTTCCACAATGGGATTAAAAATAGACACTAATCATATTTACATGGCAGTCATCAATGACTGGTATGAACGTTTAAAATTAGGAATTGCAGCAAATTTCCCTGCACCTTTCTATCCCGGCAAACTGAACTATTTCCTTACTCTAACCTACAGGACCATTTAGGTGAATTCATGTTTAATAAAATAGGGAGCATTTACTTTCATCTTGGCTCTGCCACGATTTTTCTTTCTAATACTGGAAACACTATGGCCACCTTGCTACATTTCTGAGAATAACTAGGGGGATCTAGGCTTCAGAACTAATTATTAAAAAACATAGCATTCTTAAATATGTTAGCAATGGAGCAAGAGGATGCAATTGTTGACAGCTCACTCAAAATCGCCCATCATGAAGCAGGAGGCTTGGAGCTTCCGGGAAGGACGGGACCCACAGATTTTGTTTCAAGGCCCAGTTACAGCAGAGTAGAAAAAAGTTTCTGTGAGCTGCGTTTGCAAGTGATAAATTTTACTTTCCGGTGTTCAAAGTATCACCAAGAAACTAAGAGATTCACCCAGGACTGAACAGTAAGCCAGGGGCAGCACTGGGTCAGGAATGAGGACTTTTTCAGGCTCTAGCATGTGGCCGGAGGAGATCCACTGAACATTGGAAAACACTGTCAGTGGACAAGAGTAATGGTCTGATAATGTTCCAAACCACTTTTGTACCACCTTGAGACTAGAGAGATCCTGAAGAACAAGCACTTATCTGAGAGGGCTTATCTGAGAGAAGTGAGAGGCAGGCCCAGGAAGAGTGACAGCTGCCAAATCCTGAGAGGGTAAGTCATCACCGGACCCCTCCCTTTCTCATTCACATCTATTACATCAAAGCCACACCCAGAGGAATCAGGAGGCCTTTGTCTCCTAGATAAAATTTTGGAAAATGTGATTCATCTTTATGCTTCAAAGTTATCTTTCAGCTTCTAGAAGCCATAACTTTAAGACTCAAGACAATTTCGTCAGGTAAGGCTTGGGAACTGACGGAGGTCTCCAGCTGAGACGGTTTAGCATCCAAAAGTTGATAGAACAATTTTTTCATAAGGTATAAATTCTATTTTCTTCTCTGAAAACAAAAACACTTTCTTACCGCTACTTGGGCTGCACAATATGAGGGGTTGACCAGAGCCTGGCAGGGGAATGCACCTAGTGCCTTTTCAAAGGCCATAGTTTTTGCTATCTCATTCCCTTTTTTATATCCATGTGATTATACAGTTTTAGAGCAAAGGAGACCATAGAAATTAGAGTGAGCCCAAAAGGCTCTCTCTAGAATGAGGAAAGTGAGCACCAGTCAGGCCTGTGAGTCATCTGAAGTCACGTGGTTCCTTGGTGGCCAAGCTGGGAGGAGGGCACAAATCTTCTCCATTCCCACCCCCTACTCCCCACTGCACTCTCCATTAAGACCTGCAGCCTCCCAGCCAAAGCAAGAGAATTTCCCTCACACAAAAAAAGGGGCGATGAGAGAAGTGCTTCCCAATACTCCCCTCAACTCCTTCACTGTTTCCTCCTCACTGGATTTGTCCGTTCACCTGCCTTTGCACTACAGAGACAATGCCAACATTTCCCCAAATCACAAAATTAAATGATTTCTGTACAGGCTTAGCAAAATTACCCCAAAGCACAAATGGAATTACTAAGGAGGAGTTTGGACCATGGGTTCATTTCACAGTTTTACCGACTGTACCCAGTAGCTGATCAGCTTTCTGGAAATTAGGTATTTTGCAAGATCCTCTCTAATGAAACCAAAGAAAGAATTAAGATCAACTCACAGGGATTTGAATCAGCTTGAGGAAGTCATCCCGTTTACTGGAGCTGGTATTTAACAACTTATCAAGCATGTCTTCCTTGATGGTGTCCATGCTCCTTTGAATGCGCTGGTCATCATCTTTCAGATTTTCAAACATTTTCAGGTAGAAGGAGACAATTTGGCTTTGAATTATTGTTTTATCACTCTCCTTGGAAGAAAATATCACAAAGAGAGGTCGATGTGAATTTATGCATCAGAAAATAAGCAACAAGAAAATCAGCCAAATGGAAATACCCAGCCTACCTCTTTCCAGTTCTTCAAAATGTCTACAAAAAGCGACCCACCATCTGCTACATCTGGATTACTTGCATTCTAAAAAAAGAAAGAAACATGGTTTACAATTAGTCCATTAATTTCCCTAAAACTGCACTTCAAGTTTTAGTGCTGACAATATTCGCTGATTTTCTTTTCAACACTATTAAAGCTGTTGTGTTGGATATAACCAAAGACCATCATGCTATTTTAGCTTTCTTATTTTCTAGTATACTCTTAATCTGCAATATTACAAATAAACTCAAGAAGGCCAGTGATACTTCAATTATCCCAAATAATTATAGTAAGGAAAAGAAAGTATTTTCAAGCCTAGTTAAAAAAAAAAAAAATTCAGCCAAATCATATCACTATAAAATACTGCCCTCCTATGGTACTGGTCTTCATAACATCTACCTGTGCCCTCCTATGTGGTATTATGTCAGCTTTAAAAGATAGTTCCAAATGTGTGTGTGTGAGAGAGAGATTTGATTTGATGATGTGAGAATAAATAGCCTGTGAATGCTTGAATATTAAGTATACCAGCTACAGTTATAATAGCTACATTTTGGACCAATAGCAAAATTTTTGAAATGCAAAAACTATTTTAATTAACCATAAATAAAATTTTAAAAAGCTCATAAAACAAAATGAAAACCTTTTTAATAGGAGCCAGATTATAACTCCTACAAAATCTCAGCGAGTGACTGAGTTGAAGAATAATTCCTAGATCATCTAGATGCGGCAGTAGAACTTTGAAACCATTTTTTGGAGCAAAACACTTGTAATCTGTTTTTAAGCCCGAACTTAAGGACCTCACATTCTTTCATTAATTATGTCAGATTACCATTCTTCATGCTAACCCTGACCTTCCATTGCTACCGTCATTCCTGATTTTCAGCATACTCTGATCATCTAGATGGCTAGTCATTGTTTCAATAGGCACACTATCCAACATCGCAATCCAATAGATTCTCACCACAAAATTATCGACATCACTGTCCTTTATACCCATATTATTCCCATCTTCTGGAAGATTGATGAATGCCCCCTAAATCTCTATAGCAAGTTGAGCAGAGGGTAAAAACAACATCTAGATCATGTAGTTAAACAATGCCTCTGGTAAACAGGCAACATTACACCAAGTCTCCTCAAGATGACTATGGCCTAGAGATGGCAGTCTATCATAGACACAACTCCAAGTCAACATGCATTCATCTCAACCACAGCGAGTGTTACTAAAAAGTCATACTTACAAAATATCCCTTTAGCTCTTCTATTTCTTTAAAAAACATGGCCTGACAGTAATAACCAGAAGAACACAAAATTATGCAAAGCTGAAAAGCGAAAATAAAACTTGTGTAATTCATCGTTTCGGAGAGTTAGGCCGAAGTAGTTGAAATCAGTAGCTCCGGGATGAAGTTGATCAGGTCCGAAGGATTTAGCCGATCTTTCTTTTCTAATAGCCGACCAGCTGACAATCAGAAAAATGTACTACATCTCCTTTTGCTGCTGGTATTTATACCTAGCTGAAGTCCTCAGGATTACGTATTTTCACAAGTTTTTTTTTTTTTTTTTTTCAGATGAGATGGTGACAGATAGGCAGAGATGCTAGTTTGTATTAATAACTATGGTTTTGTGGCATTTTGGTGTTGTAGTTAGAGTTTCCTTTCAACTCCCTGGGTCTTTTGACGATGAGACAGACCCATTATGCCCACCTGTACCATTCTTGTGGGATCCTTTGAAAGCACTTTTACTTCACACCATTCAGGGATTGGAAATTTTTTTGCACCTCCCTCCTTTCCCCTTGTAAAATGTGGAGTTTTCATCCACAAAGCACATGGATCGTTTGTTTGTGGTCAGGAGGAAGTAAAAAAGGAAATTGTAGGGGTGCTCCAACCTTTACAAAGGGGGTGCCTTTTAAAGTTTTTCTTGCAAATGACCAGAAAGCAAGGAAAGAATGTGTTTCAAAGACCAAGGTGGTGAGGAAGTCCTTCAGCAAAGTTGGTTAGTGACATATCTACCACAGCTTTGCATTGCCCTGGACCAAAAGGGCCCAATAGAAATATAATCTAAGGTAAATAGATAAATTAAAGTTTTCTAGCAGCTTTCTTAAGAAAAGTAAAAAGAAACAGGGAAAAATAATGTTTAAGATATATTGTATTTAAGCCAATCTGTCCAAAATATCGTTTTAATATGTACCAACACACAAAATTATTATTCAGATATTTTACTTTTTTTTGTCATACTAAATCCTAGAAATCCAGCCTTCATTTTACACCTACAGCATGTCTCAATTTGGACAAGTCAGATTTCAAATGCTCAGTAGCCACATGTGGCTAGAGGCTACGGTTTTGAACAGTATAGCTCTAGATGGTCGATTAATAACCAAATAAACAATAATGGAGAATCTTTTTTTTTCTTTGCCTTCCAAATACAAAAAATAAAAATAAAAAAATAGGATTCTTTCTCCTCCCTCAGTAAGTTACTTTTGAAGTAAACACTTCAGGATTGTACAGAAAGCCCTCCACCCTCCAGCCCACCTTGCATTTCAACCTGCATGCTCTAAACCCTGGACTATTATGTTTATGGATACGGACTCAAATCCTGGCTCCACTGCTATCTGGCTATGTGATTTGGAGGAAGCTTCTTAACTCTCCTATGACTCCGTTTCTTCGTCTTTAAAACAGGACGACTGGGGCGCCTGGGTGGCGCAGTCGGTTAAGCGTCCGACTTCAGCCAGGTCACGATCTCGTGGTCCCTGAGTTCGAGCCCCGTGTCAGGCTCTGGGCTGATGGCTCAGAGCCTGGAGCCTGTTTCACATTCTGTGTCTCCCTCTCTCTCTGCCCCTCCCCCGTTCATGCTCTGTCTCTCTCTGTCCCAAAAATAAATAAACGTTGAAAAAAAAAAACAAAACAGGACGACTATTAGTACCTCCTTCCAGGCTTCAGTTGAAAGTTAAATCACATGATCCATGTGAACTGCTAAGAATTTTGCCTGGCATGCAGTAAGCACTCGAGAAAAGTTATGTGTTGTTCTTTAGGCAGGTTAGATGATTAGTCGTTTGTAAAAAGAACACGGCGTGAACCTTGGCTTATGTTATTCCTTTGCCCTTGGGTTCCCTTCCCTGTCATCTGCTCCTCAGAGTGATGCCCATCCATGCAAGCCCCACATAAAAACCATTATCTCCACAGGTTCTCCCAAAATATCCTTATTAAAATTAAACTGATATCCTCTACTCAGGCTTAGAACCTGGTTCATACTTTTTTTTTTTTTTAAGTAAACTCTATGCTCAACGTCAGACTCAAATTCATGACCCCAAGATCAGGAGTCGCTCACTCTATTGACTGAGTCAGCCAGACCCCCTTGGTTCATACTTCTGTAAGAGCACTGACCCCTCATTCTCAGATTTATGTGTCATTTCCCATGTTAGACTGTGTTCCCTAAAACCAGAAATTGTTGTATTGCTTTTGTAACCCTCGTTTGTTCCCTAAAAGCATATTCACCTAGAGATTTACCCATAGTTCTGAATAAGTGGGAACCTGAATGCTTAATTGAAGATCTGCTCTGAGTTATTTTCCCTCAAGTTCTAATCCCAATGCTATCATAGCTAACCTGTAGGAAGCTGGGTTTTAATTAAATAGAATTTATGGTTAATTTTGGAAACATGATGCTATGCCTCTTTAGCCAATCCCTACTTACTAGGACAATTCCATGTTTTGTTTTATGTGCAAAAGCCAGAAAACTCTTTGAGGGGCTATCTTCCCAAAGAATAAACAAGATCAAAACCTGTCTGTGGGACAAAAGCCTCATGTTAAACAAGTGAAAAGTATGGAAATTACAAGTTCTGTTGTAGCTCTCCTCAAGGAAAAATATGTCCCAGATAATGTGCTCACAAAGTGACAGACTGACAAGAAAGGCTTATCAAAACCTTGTGACACACCATCGGCACTCACCACCATCTAGGAAACCAAGGGCCAAATTCTTTGTGACTTACTGGAAGGAATATTTCCAACTTTATGAAAAGGAGTAAAAATTGGGCCTGCCCATCCCTTGATTTATCCACTGGAATATGGTGTTGGGGTGAAGAATTAAGAATAGTGGGGTCCAGGGGTGCCTAGGTGGCTCAGTCAGTTAAGCATCCAACTCTTGATTTCAGCTCAGGTCTTGATCTCAGGGTTGTGAGTTCAAGCCCTACACTGGGCTCC